GTGTGTGAGCGTGTGTGTGTGTGTGTGTGTGTGTGTGTGTGTGTAGGGGTGAGGCGTGTCACGTGGTCACTCGCAGGCCAGTTTGCTGTCGAAGCTGGACAGGCCGATGGCAAAGGCCTGCAGGGCGCACATGGGGTAGTTAAAGTCCAGAGTGAAGATGTCCTCCGCCACACGACCAAACTGCATCACGATGTAGTCAGCTGAAAACACAACAACACACAATCACAACGATTTATTGTTAAAAAAAAAAGTATAAGAAGAAAATCATCCCATATGAAAATCATCTCTCCTCTCTCTCTCTCTCTCTATATATATATATAGAAAATCTTTTTCTTTTTTAATCTACTTTGGTACCAAGTATTACTTTAAAATAATTAAACAGAGAGAGAGAATTTGTCTTATTATTTTTAATTGCAATTTGATAGAGATGTTTTAAAAAATGTAATATATTTTTGAACATTTATTTAAATAATAAGAAATGTAAACTTTTTAAAATTAAGCTAGATTCCAAGGCAACATTTCCCATTTTCATTTAGTTTAACTTTATGTACTAAAATAACTAAAACTGAAAAACAAATAATAATAATAATTTAAACATAAAAAATATAAATATAAAAACAATTATAAAAATGACTAAAGCACCTTTAAAATTACTAATCAATTAAAAATATATATATATAAAAAAAAATTAAAATGCAATATTTCTCATTTTCATTCATCTTAAAGTGATGTACTATAATAACTAAAACTCAGGGACGCGGGACGTAGGGGTGCTGAGGGGGCTGCAGCACCCCCTGTTTTCACAGGGTTGCAAATGCAACGCCAAGTTTGTTCATTTAAATGTATTCAGTTTTAGCATTTAATAATTTATTTGTAATGATCTCGGAAATGTAAATTGTAAGTGGGCTATAATAAACCCATGTTTATCTTTATAAACATGATTAATTTTACTTGTGATGTTTTCTATATGGGATGATTAGCCTAATCCTCATGAACACGTGACGCTGGCGCATGGTTTCAGACATGAACTGTACAGAATGCCAACAAGATTAACTTTAATACAAGGAGATAATGGCGCAAACGCGAATTTCAGCCCCGACGTAAGTGAACCAGCCCCCCCCCCACCCCCCTTCAACAAACACGGACACACACAGCACCCCCAACCGAAAACATCTTCCCCTGCTAAAACTAGAACTTAAAAAATGTATTACAAACTAATAATTTTAAAAAATTTAATTAATAAAAAACTATATAGACAACAAAAAATTGCATAAAACATAATACAAATGATTAAAACAACTTTAAAATTACAAATACTTCATCTAAAAAAAAAAATGAAAACAGACAATATAAAAATAAAAAGGCAACAAAATAAAAAGGCAATATTTCTCAAATTTTCATTTAGTTTTGTCTTGATGTACAACAATAACTACAACTAAAAATGAAAAAAAAATTGCATACATATTTAAAAATAATTTTTTTTACAAAAAAATTCACATAAAAAGTCATAAAATTCACAAAATTACTAATACTTTAAAAATAATATTTATATATGTATATAAAATAAAACAGAATTCAAAATATTATCTATATGTGATGTACTAAAATAACTATAACTGAAATAAAAAGTAATACAAATTATATTAAAAACATAAAAAATGACTAAAACGTCACCTAAAATTTAATTTTAAATGAAAACATCAAATATAATCTACATTTTGATATTATATGATATTACCTAAATATATCTCACATAAATACATCTAAATATGTAAGGGATAATGCATGGCTAGCTGTGCATTAAACGATTTTAATGCACGATGTGGAGCCCAAGAACCACCCGACGCGAAGCGGAGGACAGAGATGAAATAGTGAGATAAGATCACATTTCTTTGACTGAATTATAGCATTTATTTCAATTAATTATTGACTGAGAGAGCGAGAGAGAGGTGTGTGTGTGTTACCTGCGTCTGCGTGTCTCTCTACGAACAGTGAAGCTGTGTTACTTCAAAAACAGCTGAGGAATATAAAGTAGCGACTAGGGCTGTCAAAAAAAATACAAATTTAGAATATTCCTCGAATTTCAAATAAAAATTCACATTCAAATTCAAAAACGTTGCATTCGTATTTTAGGTGTGCGTCAGGAAGCCTCATCAGTGGCGCACGAGATGCGATGACGATGAAAGAGTCGTTGCATTATAATGTTTTTGTTAGCCTGTCCGGTTGAAGCCACTAGATGCGGCGCTGCTGCGTTGTTCACTAAAAATATAGCGGAAAAAGAGAACATCAATGCGGAGAAGATCTTGTTTACATCAAAAATGAAACCAAGCCGTTCACACAGAACGCATATTTATCGCATTTTCTAGACGGACATCTATTACTGTTGCACTCGCCTCTCGCACAAAAGAGCCGCATGTTTAGAAAGCCGTGTAAAATTAATGCAAGTTCAACTTTTAAAAACATGTCTCGAGACTTTATGGCAGATTTTCCCCATCCCACTGCATCTCATGTTTTTAAATGAAAAAAGTACTCTTTGTGATTGGTTTTCGGTCCTTTGTATTAAACTATACATACATGCATGATTCTGTTTTGTTTCTAATTGTTTAAGCAACTTAATTATATATGGTTTATAAACGTTATTTTAAACATTATGCACTTTTTTCAAATATAGTTTGAATAATCGTGTTATTTTATTGCTTTGAATAAACGTGCATTAGTAATACTTCGCTCGATGCGCCCTCTTGTGGCCTCGGGAGAGAAGCCAAAAGCTTTTTCCCCCCTAACTGAAATGATGCATTTTAAATTCTAATATAATTTGAATATTGATAATATTTAAGTAAAAAATTTGAATTTAGTTTTTCAGCCATTTTGACAGCCCTAGTAGCGATCTAGTATCTGGCTTGGGACTACTTGTGCATTAAACAGTTTTACTGCATACCTGCCAGCCAATCAGAATCAAGTATTCAGGCAGACCATGGTATAAGTCTATATATATATAACACCTCACACTGCTTGACTGAGGTGACTTACGGTCGTTGTCGTGGACGATCTGGAAGTTCTTGACGGAGGCCTGCGTGACTCTGCCGTGGAAGTTGAGCACGTAGGACTGCGTGTCGTCGTTCCACACCGGCGCTTTATTGTGCAGCTCGATCAGATTCTCCAGCGAGTGATTCTGCCATTTACTCAGCAGAGACTCCTGCTCCTGAAACACACACACACACACACACATCAGCTGCTGCGCTCATGGTGATGATCTGACTGACAGCAGCCAGAGGAGACACTAGACGGGTTTCCATCCAAAGTTGCGAATTTAACAATGCAAAACTGGAATATCGCATAAAACATTTGCGAACAAGCATCGTTTCCATCCAACAAGTCAAAGAGAACAAAATCGTCACTTCCTGATAAACTGGCACTATAAATCACTAAGATAAGTAGGAGAATATAATCATTTTCATATATAATAAATTACTTGCGCCTCAAGAGCGAGCAGACGAAACACAATGAATGCGGTCATTGCTTTCGGAGGTGGATGCTGCTGTTTGGGAACGCAGTCGTGTAAGAGAGTTCTGGAGGCAATTATACAGAAATACTTTGATGATCATTTCCATCACTCGTTTCTCATGCGATACTTCAATAGGGTGATGGAAACATAGCTACTCACACACGCGGGCCGAACCGGAACCCGCTCGAAGTTCATGTTCATGCCGGGAATGATCACGGTCATCTTCCGCGGCCCTTTGAAGCCCAGAACATTGGTCTCCTAAAAACACACACACACACACACACACACACACACACACACAATAAGAAGTGGGCAAAACCACTCAGAAACAGAGAGGAACAGAGACACACTGACGTAGCAGACGGCGGCGAGCTCCTGTCGTGTGTTGGTTTCCTCCAGCAGCGCTCCGGGGGTTTTTGAGGGGTTCGTGCCGTTATCGTACACAGTAAACTTGGTTCCCATCAGATTAGACCTGCGGTGAACGGTGAACATCATCAACTCATCAGCTAATGAATGGCAGAACATCAACTCACACAGACTCCAAAACAATGGCATTGGGCAGCAAAGGGTTAAAAGGATAAACGTGAAGCTTGTGATTTTAATACAGCACATTAATTATTCAAAAGGCAGCTATACATTTTCGTGCATAAAGATTGAAAAAATCATGTTAGAAATGTGTAAAATGTCATTTAGAAAATATTCAGTACCTATTACATTAAATTACAACATATTTTCTTATATTTATATTACTTATATTTTTATTTTAACCAATTTTTTATTATTCGTTTAAATACATCTTTCATTATTTATTTTTTTTATTTAAATATATTTTTTATATTTTATTATTTATTTTAATATTTTTGTATTACTTTTATTATTTATTCAATTTTTTAAATCTAATTGTTATTTATTTTAACACAAATTTTAATAGTTATTTTAATACAATTTTGATTATTAATTTATTTGAATAACATTTTTTATATTTTATTATTTATTCAATTTTTTAAATCTAATTGTTATTTATTTTAACACAAATTTTAATAGTTATTTTAATACAATTTTGATTATTAATTTATTTGAATAACATTTTTTATATTTTATTTTAATAAAAAAATGTATTTATCTATTTTTTTTTATTACATTTTTTTTTTACTTTTTTTTTTACTATTTATTTTAATCTAATATTTTTTTTTTTTTTTTATAAAATGTATCTATTTAAATATTTTCTGTTTTACTTATTTATTTTTACACTCCATACACTGTTTTTCTCCAAACTTTTTCACGGCTCCCCAACACTCCCTTTTATTTAGTGTCATGCTCATGTGTTTCTATTGAAAACGCAGTACTGAAACCACAATTGATGCTTTAAAGAAACGGGACGAGTTGAAATAGTTTTCTATGGTAACTGACTGGATGTCACTTGACGTGTATTGAACCAGAAACATCCAATCAATCATAAGTTCACAGTGTTAAATTGGATCCGATAATTTGAAGGTCACTTGTGACTGAATCTCCTGAGACGAGACGAGTTAATACCAGACAAAAAACACCAGAAAGGCACCTCAGTTTTCCTATGAAGCTCTCGGCCTCGCGGGACAGATCTGTGGCGTCTACAGAGATCAGATAGTTGGATGTTTTGCTCTTTTTCCTCTTGCGTCCGGCCAATAAGAACACCTAAGAGAGAGAGAGAGAGATGAGCGAGAGAGCACTAAAGTGAGCAGAAGTGATTGTGAAGCATCAGATCAAACCTTCTTGCCGTCTTCTCTCTCCAGGTGCATGTAATACGTGGGATAGAGGCCGCGGTCCATGCCCTTCTTATCCCGCGAGATGCGGCACTTGACGGTGACTCCCCGCGGAGCCGGGCGGAGCACAAACTCCTCCAGATTATCCACCTCAACGGAGGAGCCCTCAGCCGACGGAGAACCCAGCGGGAGACACTCCTGACGGGACAGAGAGACAAAACTCACACATTCAGTGCTCAGATATGAATGAGTGATGAAAATACACCATTAATTATTCTCACAGGGTCTCTGAGAAAAGGAGGAAAGTTCACAAACTGAATGAAATACTTTCCTGTATCCCAGTTTAATATCCAGAGTTTAATGGACTCTATGTACAAAATGAAATCTTGATGCAGTGTTACACAACAGCATTATTGATATGTTGTTTTTATTATTTAATCTGTTTTTTTATTAATTTTTTTTATTTTATCAATTAAAAAATATTTCTATATTTTTTATTTTCAATATTTTAATTTATTGTAATCAAATTGATAACATTTCTACATATAATTTAAATGTATTATTTCAACTATTATTTATATTTTATTATTCATTTATTTTCATTCATTTTATTATTTCAAAATATTCATTTATTTTTATATTTTTCCATTATTTATTTTAAGCTAATTTTTATCATATAATTTTATAGTTACGTTTAAAAATATATATTATTTATTTGTTTTATTTTATTTATTTTTGTATTCAATTGTACTAGTTACATGTTTTAACCTATTTTCCCATTATGTATTTATTTCTTCTTTCTTTCTTTCTTCATTTATTTATAAGCACATTTTAAAACAACCAAGGGTTGACCAAAGTGCTGTACATAGTTGTAGAAAATACACAAAAACAGTACAGTAAAAATTTAACCCAGCATACATTTTTCAAATAAATAAGATTTAAGCATTGATTTAAAAACAGACAAAGAAGGTGCTGTTCGAATGGCAACAGGGAGATTATTCCAAAGTGTTGGCCCGGCAATAGCAAAAGCTCGGTCACCACGATGTTTCGGTCTGGACCTAGGGACGGATAACATTTTTAAAGGCCCCGATCTAAGTGGTCTCGCTGAGGTGTGTGAGTGCAACAACTCAGTGAGGTAGACTGCCGCAAGGTTATTTAATATTTTAAATTCAACTGAATTTTACAGGCAACCACTGGAGAGAGATCAAGATAGGACAGATGTGCTGGGATTTACGTGTTCTCGTCAAAAGCCTGGCTGCTGCGTTTTGGACCAGTTGTAAACGCTCCATGGATGAGCAGTTAATCCCATAATAAAGTGAATTACAATAGTCTAAACGGGAAATAACAAATGCATGAATTACTTTTTCGAAGTTCCTGGTTGATAACAAAGGTTTCACTTTAGCCAGGCGACGAAGATTGAAAAACACACTTTAACTACTCCATTATCTGTTTGTCGAGGTTTAAACCAGAATCAAGCCAAAAACCTACATTTTTTGCACATGGAGTAACCCACTGAGTTAAGGAACCAAAGTTACATTTACAGGCATTAAAAGCGTCACTAGGTCCAAACTGAATTACTTCAGTTTTACCTTCGTTTAGAGTCAAAAAAAAATTTGTAAGCCATGACTTAAGTTCCTGAATGCATGCATACAGAGCTCCTAGTGCATTTTTATCATTTGGTTTAAAGGGGAGGTACAACTGGACATCATCTGCATATAAACGAAAATAAATTCCATATTTCCATCTTTTTAAAATATTTTTATTACTTATTTTAATCTTTTTCATAATTTTTTTTAATCTACTTGTATCACTTATCTATTTATTTTAATTGTATTATTTGTATTTTAATCAAATTTTTTATATTTATTTATTTTAATCAATTTTATATTTTGTTTTGTTTTTTATGTTTAATATTTTTTAATGTTTTATTAAAAAAAAAGTTTTTTTATTTTTTTATTTAAAGCTTCTGAAACTCATTTCTGAAATGTTTATGGTATAATATAATACACAAAAATAATGTTATGTTAATGTAATGTACTATAGTTATATTATATCTAATCTACTATATTGTAATGTAATTATTTATGAATTGACAGTTATATGATGTGACAGAAAGAGTTTGCTACAGCACTGAGACTTCAGCAGAAACACACACAGTCAGTCAGTGTGCATCAAACTGTGGCTGTGTGTTTGTGTGGAGGTTGTTGTGTCTGTCTAACCGTGGTTGATTTGGTGCTGGAGGCTGACGCAGGACGAGTGCTCTCTGTGTTCGGCGACAGCGATCGGCTTCGCTCTTCAGCTTCATCATCATCTTCCTCGCTGGCCTCGTCGTAGTTCATGCTGCCAGACAGTCCTGAGAGAAACAGAGTTTAAAGAGCTGGAGATGAGAAACAACAGCTGCTGCGCCGAGACGAGGACTGACATTTACACGCAATCTCCTGAGACACACACACACACTTACTGTCTCTGCAGTAGTGTGTGTGTGTGTGTGTGTGTGTGTGTGTGAGTCTTACCAGTGCATGTTTTGCATGTCTAAGGCATATAAAGTGAATAAACCAGTTTTCATCAGCTCACCTTTTTACATAAACAATGTTAAACTATAAAAATGTTAATTTCACTGGAGCGCTGAAAGAGTTCATTCATCATAGGATCAGATATGCCGCTATTTTGGCTCATTTCGAGTCGGAGTGACTGTTAGGCGTCTGAAAATGAGTTTTAATGGAGTAATTTGTAGATCTGTGCTGCTCGAGCTATGAACTGATTCAAACGATTCTGATTTGATGAACTGCTTCAACTAGTTCACTAAAAAGAATCGGTTTAAAAGAATGATTCGTTTGTGAACCGGACATCACTCAGGAGGCTCTGGATTACAGGTAATAATGTTGTAAATAATGTTCAGGGGGTTTTTTTGCACAGACCGTTCGTTTAGACCTCAATATACTATCAGGAGCCACAAGTATAAATTTTGTGTTGCTTTTTTTGACTCTCAAAGTGCCGGTAGCCATTGACTTGCATTTTATGAATCACCAAAGACAAGGGTATCAGCTAAAAATCTTCTTTACTGTTCTACTGAAGAAAAAAAGTCAACTACATCTCGAGTGGTCTGAGGGTGAGTAAATTAACAGCAAATTAGCCCTGGGCGATATGGCAAAAAATTTAAATCTTGATTTTTTTCCCCAGAACTTTTTCTTTATTAACCCTCTAGCTACAGAAAATTTATATATATAAATATTAAATATAAAAACTGAAATGTTGTTTCTATTCCAGTATTGTTATTGTTAGCTAAAACTACAAACAATTATTTATGGTAGTTGAAATGAAGCTGAAATAAAATAAAATATAAATATTACATAGAAAACTTAAACTTATAAAACTTAAATGAAAACTAGAAATAATGCTCTGGCAACTATCTGATATAAAGTTGAAGTATAAAATTACTAAAACTGAGAGCAAAATTAACCAAAGCTAAATACAAAAAAAAATATATATATATGGTAACATTAAAATGAAAACTGGCAATATAAAAAAAGCTGATTTAAAATATTCATAAATACTAGTACATTAATAGTACTAAAATAACACTATTCTATTCTATTCTGCTATGTAAGTATTTTAAGCTACAACATTTTGTCCACTACATCATTCCCATACTTCCGTTTCCTGTTATTTCATAGTTTTGATGATTATAAAATGTGAAAAACAGTCACACGAAAGAGTAAGTAGGAGTATCCAAACATGTGACAGCTATTGTGATACAAAGATAATCTACTAGAGCTGAGATAAAAACAGCGAGAGCTCTGTACGGCACAGGAAGTGAACGATAACAGCCAAGGATCAGGAGGATGAGCAGAAAACACACACAATGCTTCCCAGAAACAAAACACTCACAGAAAGATGAAGAAGTTTACGCATGCTCGCTAGAATCATCCTTACAACAGCAGAACCGAACAGTGTGTGTATGTGTGTGTGTGTGTGAGAGAGAGAGAGAGAAGTGGGATGAAATGACAGTAGATGACAGACAGGAAGAGAAATGAGGGCTGCTGACACAATGAGAGTTTCACTTAAAGTCAGACGATGCTGTTCAGCTCACGCTGAGGGGCGGAAACACTGCAAACAATCAATCGCTTCACAATGGAAAGTAACATCCATACTGTGTATTATTGTGTGCTATTGTGTATTATTGTTTTATAATATTTTGATGTGTTACCGTGTATTATTTTGTTTTGATACGTGTTATTGTGTATTATTTAGTTTTATTGTGTTTTTTGATGCGTTTTATAATGCTTTGATGTGCTACCAAGTATTATTATGTTTTGATACATGTTATTGTGTATTATTTTGTTTTATTGTTTTTTATAATGCTTTGACGTGCTACCAAGTATTATTATGTTTTGACTAGGGATATGCCAGTATCAAATTCTCATGTTGCGATTGATTGCTAATGCTTTTATCATGGTATACGGTATTATCACGATATTGAAATTTAGTTTTAAAAAAGTGTTGTCATAATACAGTATAACAGGTTTAATAACATTTTTCTTATAACAAAAATAACTGAACATTTAAATGCAATAAAGCAATACAAAAAATGTATAAAGTTAAAGTTTTACACAGATTAAAGTGCAAAAGAACTATAAAGACTAATAGGTATCCCTTTACAATAAGACCTCATTAGTTAAGCTTAGTTAATGCATTAACATTCACAATCAGCAATAGCTACATTTGCTACAGAAGTTATTCATCTTTGTTTAAAAAATACAAATCTTAGTTCATGTTAGCTCATTAAATAACACAGTTGCAAATATTGTATATTGTTATTAAATATTGTAATTACCTAAGATTAATGAATGTTCAGAAGAATTTTTCATTGGCAGTTTATGTTAACTAATGAATTAACTAAT